AGGCCCCTGGAAGCTGGAAGGATTCGCCCCAAGGTCACCGCGACGCGTTTATGCAGGCTCCTTCTGCGAGGAAGGAGGGGGGGGGGGCGGGCCCCAAGAATATACACCACCACCGCGTCGATCCCTCCTCCCTCCACTACCCTCTCTCCTCTCCTCTGTCCTGGGAGGGGGAGGGGGTGCGGAAGGGAGGAGGAGGAGGAGGAGTAAGAGGACGAGGAGCAGGAAGGAGGAGGAGGAGGAGGAGGAGGAGGAGGAGTTTTGTTATTTATTTTTATATATATATATGTATGTATGTATATATATATATGTACTTACGTAATTCTTTGTTTATTTTAAAGACATCCGCGTCACACCTCCACATCCTCGGGTAAATCCGAGGACCAGAGCCAGCAGCGGAGGGGGATGCTGGCTCCCTGACACAAACCAATAACCTGAGTCATCAGCGCAAGTGAAACCAGCTCGAGAGACCAAAGGGGTCTCTGCGTCCTGTCGAACCAGCACAAGGTGCACCTGCCGCAACATCTCTATGAGAGGGGCAGGCACACAGGGCAACAAAACGGACGCCGAGCTGCAAGCGCAAAGACAAGACCAGATGCAGGGGTTCTGCAAATGGAAAAGGCATCTCGGACCGACTGCCCTCGGCTGTGCAAGAGGAACATCGGTCAAGACAGCACCCCGCCACGAGTGCCGAGACAGCCCCCAGCGGCGGAGAGCCGAAAACGCGAGGCGAGCGAACGCACATACGCACGGGTACGCCTGCACAACGCAAACAGAGGAGAGATGTTGGGGCCAAGAGCCCCAGGCTCCTGGCCGCGGCAACACCAAAACCCGAGCCACAGTCGGGATGGGGCCACCCCCGTGCTCGGAGAAAGAAAGAAGCGCACCCTGGATGTGCACGTACCTTCCCCCTGAAGCGGGGCGCCTGACACACGTGCACGAAGGACGCACGCACTACGAGACAGCACACAAACTATAAACACCAAGGAAACAAATCGACCACCCACACAAGGACGACGAGCCCGCAGCCCCTGGTGCAGCCAGCGCCAGGACGACCGTCGGCCTCGCCCCAGACGTGGGGTAAAACACGGATGCCTGCCGAAAAGATCAGTCGCATCGGGCCGTGCTGTAATGAACGAAAAGAAAAGGCGTACCCACGCCAGAGGAAATACACGACCACCCACACAATGACGACGAGGCCAGCAGTCCCTGGTGCAACCAGCGCCAGGACGACTGCCAACCTCGCCCCACATGTGGGGTATAGCACGGATGCCTGCCAAAAGGGTCAGACGCATCGGGCCGTGCTAGAGAGAAGAAATAGGAAAGGGCGTCCCTGCGCCAAAGAAGCATTAATCCAAACTGTCCGACTCATCCCGTCGACGCCTCGCCAGGAAAGAGGGCTTGTCCCGTCTCAGCTCCTGATGGGGTCCCTGCCTCATCTCCTGCTGAGGGGCCTCGTCATCAGGCACAGTACGAGCAGCACCAGAAACGCAAGCTGTTCGCTCGAAAAGGAAGCTAGACGCCTCCTCCAAAGCACCAAAGAGAGTATCCCAATTTCCCGCACCTTCCCGCCCAGACCCCACCCCCCGCTCCACACCAGAGGAGGAAGAAGGAGGCAGTCTGGCCAAGAGGCCAGCGGACACAGCCGTGTCACACTCTTTAGAACGTGTGAATTCCCCCTCATGAACCTTTGAGGACTCACAAGCCACCTGTGGGCTGGGGGGGTCCTCAGCCCCAGAAGCGGGCTGCGCCAGGGGCTGTAAATCAACCTGTTCATCGAAGCCTGGCCTGTTGAAACATTCCACAAGCGCATCAACATCCACCGAAACACCGAGCTCACGACGAGCGTAGTGAGGGCGCTTGCCTTTACAAACCTGTACCCAAGCAAGTCTGCCAGCTCGAGTCGGGGGAACACAGCGCTCCGCCAATCCTCCGACTTTACCACCAGACGAGTAGCTTTTGCACCGCAAGCAAATAAAAAAGGAAAGGCTGGCCGGAACATTCGAAAGCCAAGGTCGTGCGGCCAAGGCGATCCTGGTGGGCAGCGTGAAGCTTGCTGTCCAGAGGGCACCTACCTTTGGTGGGCGGGACCTGGGCCCGACATCCTTTGAGACACACCGAGCACCTCCAAATGCCAGACCAGCGAGCCCAACGATGGCCCGCAACGGCACTGGCTAAGATAGGAGGTGGCTGGATCCGCCCAACAGACGACAAATCAACCGAGGGCCACAACTGAAGTACCGCGCTGGCAACTTTAAGGGTAGCCTTACCATTGACCTGGAGATCAGCATCCAGAAGCAAGCCTTGATCAGACGGGTGAAGGAGAAGGGCCATGTTTGCGCCTACATCCGCAAAATTGTTGCCGACGCGACGCCACCTCTCAGTAGCGTCAATGGTTGGGTCTTCAATGTCCTGGTGGGCAGCGACTTTAGAGCAACCCGCGACCGAAGAACGCTGACCGTGGCACTGCAAAAAAGGCGCAAGCATACATCTTTTTGCCTGACAGTTGCTCAGGCTTCGGACGACCAGCAAGCCGAACATGACATTCAGAGGGGCTTGTAGCCAAAACGTTAGCCCACGTGAACGCACTGAACTCAGCGCTCTGGGGGGTCTGAGGGCAGGGGCCCCAGACAAGGGCTCTAAACTCAGCCACAAGAGTCCCATCGGAGTCAACCATGCAGACAGAGCTAGAAGCACGCGTGAGCTCACGAACGGCATGACGAGCACAGGACCCGTCCACAAACAAAGCGCCCCCGACACGGCTGGTAATGGGCCCGCTATCTGGGGCAGAGACGGGAGGGGCATGCAACGTGAGGAACAGACCACCATCAGACTCCACAGCAGGCCTGGGGTAACCGTCGGCGGGATGCCGAAAGGCTCCAGAGAGAAAGACGAAGTAGTCTTCGAGGTCCCCCGAAGCCTTAGCGGCCAGTGCAGCATCAATGGCCTCCTGCTCCACAGCCTCCAAACGGGCCTCCAGAACCTCAGTGTGCTGGCACTCCATCAAACGGTGGAAAACGGCGTCACGGGCACCACAGAAGGCACAGTCGGGGAAGATGCAATATCCAAACTCCTCCGCCTTAGCAGCCGTGAAAAAGGCCTCGGTGGCGAAAGCCCGAATCCTGGCCTTCTGCAGGGCCGTGTACTTTTTGGAGCTGGGCAACACAGCCTGGCGAACCACGTCGTAACAAATCCTAGAAGGGATCCCTCGTTTGGCCGCAGAGTCACGCTCAAGCATGCGGAAATATCCCTCACGGACCAGGGGCCTGACCGGGGCGGGGGAAAACAAACCCAAGGGAATAAACCGACCAAGGTCATCAACCAGGGCCATGAAATCCCTCATCTTCCAGCCAAGCCGCACGAGGGACATGCGGAGGGCCGTGGCAGGCCCAGACACAAGCCGCCAGGAACACCTATCCTTAGAAAACACCGATCTCCAGGCCGCGTTGAGGGACGGAAGACTGAGGGACCAGGGATAGGACGCAGTTTGACGTATCCAGACCTCCTTGCTCCACCTGGTGATCGGGGCAGTCGCAGTGCGTCAAGCCGGATCTCCGTCCAACAGCGCGCAAGTCGTCAGAGACCTCAGCTGGCTGCGAGGGCGCACAACAGGAAACACAAAATATAGATTAAAAATCCTGCGGCGTAGCAAGCTAAGGTCGTGATCGCTTATGCCCGTGACCTCAGTGCCGTGCGCAGCCCCAGCTAAGGGGCCAGCTAAGGGCCCCGGAATCACCTTAGCTTGCTTGCCGAGGCGGCGCGCAGCACGGGCAGACTTCGCCAAGCGAGACTTCATCTTGGCCGACTTACCAGCAACGCGCAGAGCCCTGCCCGCAGAGTAGTCAAACCCGAGGTTGACCGCGGACGGCGAGCAATTTTGACACAGGTGGCTGAGCTGCTCGAGGACCTGGGACCCCACAGCCTTGGAACTGGCAACCAGAGCCGTCTTGTCGAGGGCGAACGAACAACCGAATTCTTGTTGGACGACCTGGTCGAGAAATCTAGCTCCAGCGGCAATGGACGAGACGACAAACCGAGACTTCCCCGTGGCCGGGAGCCCCTGGTCGTCAATATAAACGTCCAGGTCCGTGCCCATGGGCAGCGAAATCGAATCGTACCCTTCAGCACAGTAAGCACGAATGAGGGTAGTGGCCATAGAACAGCCCGCGATAACACCGTTGATGCAGAAATGAGGCCCGTCGAGCCATCCCCCAAGACTCAAGCATCTGCCGCAGCGGTAGGCATAGATGCGCAGTCTAGCGATGACCGAGGGAAAGCCAAGACTGTCACATCGATATTCCAGTTTGGCCAAACATATGTTCTCACAGAACTTCGACAGGTCAAAAAAAGATGCTGCAACTGGCTTCCCCACTGGCTAATCCGCTCTCGGCGGTGACGGCCTGCCTCCAAACGACGTCAGCTGCTACGCGAAACTGTCCAGCAGCCCAGTGCCGCCGGGGGTGTTCCAACTCCCAGTCCAAGGCCACGGAGCGCCTGCAGCGCCCCCGAAACCTGAACCAGGAGCAGAACACCCCTTATCGGCCTGTAGCCACCAGCTGGTTTCGGGAGCAGGGCGAGCAACACCGCAGAAATCTGCGGCGGAAGGCAGCCAAGAGCCTCAATCGTGCTGAGGACGCTGCTGAAACAATCGAGAGCCTCATCGCACAAGAGAGGAAAATGTCGACAGTGAAACCCGTCAACTGAAACAGCCGAGGAGGTCTTGTAGGATTTCGACATTTCACGGATCGCCTGGGCCGAAAGTCCGGGAAGCGGAGCCAAGATTTTACCTGAAAACATAGCTCCTTCGCCTTGGCCCCACAAGGCCGATAAACGGGATCCCTCCGCTTTCAAAAGGGACAGGGGTCCGTGACAATGCAACCGTCGGCCGACAGAGTGCTGCTAGCAGTCCACGGGGTGGGGTCACGCAAGAGCATGTGAACACGCTTGGCACCCGACGAGAGACCGCTGGTGAGCCATGCCTTCCAGTCAGCACGACCTCTAGCAGCGTACTTGCCGTCGGCGGCCTGGACGGCCTCGTGCACCTGAGTGTAGAGGGCCGAGTAGGAAGCATGGTCGGCAGAGGCCCCCACAGCGACAGCTACCTGCTCGAAGAGGGGGGCGTAGTCCTGACGAGCCGCCAAGATCCCTGCAGGTGGCTGAAGCAGAAGGGACCTAAGCCGTCTCGACGTGTCCGACTCGGCATCAGCTCTAGAGGAATGAATAAAGGCTCTGAGCTGCTGGTCAAGCCAGCGAATAGCACGATGACCAGGGAAGCGGACCTGAGTGTCTTTAGCCAAAATGGATTTCCAAACCAGCTGCGGACCCAACCCGCGAGCACCCAAAACGGCGGGCGACGACCCTTCAAGAGGGACCAGCCCGCGTTCAGCCGTGTCGGCCCAAGCTTGGTACAACTTCCCCAAAAACCTACGGGCACCCTCGGCATTTCCCTCGTCAATGAAGGCGAGAGCATAGCCGGCCATGGCCATCACACCAGACCAGGCCTGAGGGAGAGGATAGGGACCGATAACCCCCGCGCACGGCAAGGGCGGGGGCTTACGAAACGAAAGGGCTTTCAAGACCGCAAGCTTGGGGAAACACCTGCTTTCCACCGGCCGATGGGGCGAAAGCTCCGTGTCCAACATCGTCTCGATCCTCTCGATGCCCTTGGCCAAACCACAAGACACCACACAATAATCGAAGGAGGTGGGAGGGCCAGTCGGGCAATGAGTGCAGATGGCTGGCACAAGTAACTGGCCACGAAGCTCTTGCACAGACTGCGAGCCCTGCACCTCCGCAGGCTCCATATTGAAATCAGTTCCGATCAGCCACGGGCAAGCCGATGAGGAGATGAGCGAACCTATGCTGGCCAAGAGCTCCACGTTGCGATCGGACATCCCTTCAGGGTGGAACAAGTAGGCCGAGGCAACCATGAAGGGGGGCGTTCCAGGCAGCTCGACCGAGCAGACAAGGCCCCGACCCCGAAACACAAGACCACCTGGAAGGCCCCGACACCCAAGCCAGCTGCGCACGAAAATAGCAACCCCCCCACTGGCATCTCCCGCCTCGGTGGCCGAAGCAGGCGCCCACACTGATTTCCACCCGCGGCGAAGACACCAGGCGCTAGCCTGACTAATATCTTCGGCAGAAATCAGACGGTGCTCTTGGCAGAGCACAATGTGAGCGTTACATCCCGAAAAGCACGCATGGTGCCCCAAAAATTAGCGTCGATGGTCTGAACTAGCAGGGCCACCGAGTCCGTCGGCCGAGAGCTATCGCGCAAAAGATCAGAGCTGTCAGCATGCAAAGCACTGGGCGCCGAATCAACACCAGCACTGCGTTCTGAGACCGTAAAACGAACTTTCCGAGCAAATGGTGGGGACGGGTCATTACAAAACGAGGCCCTTGGCCCAGGCAGCGGAAGCCTGACCAGGATAGTGCAACCAGGAGCTTCTTTGACCAGCGAGCTCACTGGATACACGGCGGACGGCTTGGCAACATCAAAGGGAACTTGCCGTCGAGCGGATCCTGGCGACCCAGAAACAGCATCAGCACGAGCGAAGAGCGAGGACCATCTGCTCGACGAAATACACTGTTGCAGAGGGCGCGGCATCTGCGCGAAGAGGAGTGGCATGCCTCGCTTTAACCAAAGGGCCTGCCTAGCCGCCGCAGCTGAGGAGGCTCCTTTGGTAGAAGATTGAAAAAGACAACATCGACCCCCCTGCGCTGAGTTCGTCGACGGACCGAAGCGGCCAGGAGAGCCCGACCCAGGACCAGAGGACCCAAGGAAGAGCGACCAAAAGCTACAAAAAGCAAGCCAAATCAGACGAGCGCGCAAGGGAGCCCTAACACCCAGGCTTGCCACTGGCAGTCTCGTCAGACCGTGCACGGGCTGCGGCGGCGTCATTTGCCCCGCTGGCATCAGGAGCGGCTGCGGCAGCTGCCGCCCCAGCCGCCGCTGCATCACCTGCATCAGCGGCAGGGGGATCAGCCTCGGCGCCTCCAGCCTGTTCATCCTCAGCAATGCGACGTTTCTTCTGAATGCGCTCCGCGTGTGCAGCATGCTCCTTCTTGATCGCGTCCACCTTGGCCTTCGCCTGCGAGAACAGGTCCTTGGCCAGCGAGCTGACCCCAGTCTTGAGCTGCTGCGCCCTTGAGTCGAGTTCAGTCTGATCCTCCGAGGACAAGTCGTGACCATCCAGCTTGAACAGGTTACCGAAGTCAATGTCGAAGAACGAGGAAAGCTTCGATTCGTCAAAGAGGATGTCTGCTGGCATGCGCGGCACGGAGGCCTCCTGCGGCAAGGCGGAGTGGAGCTTCTGGACCAACTGCTTGTGCTGCTCCTCCGCCTCGGCGAGCTCCGCACGAAGCTGTGCCACCGCGTCGCGCTGGGCTGCCAGCTGCTGCTCCAGAGTATTGTACTTGCCCACCGCCTGCACCAGCTTGCGCTCGATGCCTTTGGCGCGCTGGTGGGCTCTGTTGAGCTGTACCTGCGTCGACTCGGTGACAGACTTAGGCTCAGAGAGAGCCTTGGCTGCAACACGGTGGGCCATGGCGCCCTCCTTGTCACCGAACTTCTCGCACAACATGGCAAGCTGCTCGTACTCCTCGGCATAGAGCGGCGGCTTGGATGAGTCGCCAGACCCACCAGCGCCACCTTTCCCCCCTCTTTTGCCCCCAGGCATTGCCCCTGGCGAGCCGAGAGCACCAGCTGGAGGTCGAGACGAAGGGGGTCCTGCAGACCACGGAGAGCTTGAATCAACTTTCGAGGCCGACTTGAGCGAGCCGCAGTGCTTGCAAACATAGAATCTGGATTCGTTTTTTTACCGCATCCACAGAATGAACATGTCCAGCGTTGCCCCCTGTTGGCTGGATCACGGCGAACGCCATCACCAGCAGGACGAAAGGCAACTTGTACTCCTGGCGTGAGCGGCGGCCATGAGTGCTCGAACTGCACCTGCTGCCTCTGCGCAAGCTCTCGTTGGCCACCTGATGGCTGCTGTGGTGAACTCCCCCACGACCGATGCCATGGTGCCCACGAGAATCTGTGCTTGACGCCCGAGCCTGCGCCGCCAGCCATCGCTGATGGTTGCGACGATATACGAAAGAATGAGGGCGAGCCCTCGCGAAAGCAAGCCGAGCCAGAGGCCCGCAACAGCACTAGGCCGTTCTGAAGGCATGCTGCTGCAAGCTGAGGCTATAAAAGCCTGAGCCAGAACGGCTGCCTTGAGCCAACATGGCTACGGACTGGAGGAGGAGGAGGAGGAGGAGGAGGAGGAGGAGGAGGAGGAGGAGGAGGAGGAGGAGGAGGAGGAGGAGGAGGGACACTCGAGGCAAGCTGGAGCGGTGGTGGGCCGTTCTCGGCGTTCTCCTGGTATGTGGGGCCCACTGAAGGGCCCGCGCGCAGAGGTCCGGGATGGACAGAGGGCCCGGCGGGCCAGGACCTCCAGGGGGGTCCGCACCGAGAGAGCCACGACCACGGAGGTCTCGGATCGAGGATCGCGGGGCCCTGGGGGGGCCCCCCAGATCGCCCCCTCCCCCCCCCATCGTGGGGAGACCAACAGGTCAGAGCGATGGGGGCCGAGCGGCCACTCGTTTCCCCTGGGTGCGTGGCTGAATAGAGGATACGTGGTGAGAATTCTGTTTGTTGCGTTGCTGTTGTTGTTGTTGGTGGTGTTGTTGCTGTTGATGATGTTGTTGTTGTTGTTGTTGTTGTTGTTGTTGTTGTTGTTGTTGTTGTTGTTGTTGTTGTTGTGTTTGTTGTTGTTGTGTTTGTTGTGTTTGTTGTGTTTGTTGTTTGTTGATTGTTGTTTGTTGGTGTCGTCGGCCCACCGGCGACCCACACCGCGACCCACCCCGCGACCCACCCCGCGACCCACCACGACCCACCTGCAACCCACCCGTGACTCACCCCGCGACCCACCCGCCACCCACCCCGCGACCTATCCGCGATCCATCTGCGACCCACCCGCGACCCACCCTCCAGGGAGGAAAAGCCACCCAGACCCGACAATTGACGTTCACTAAAACGGGCCTTGGTGGTTAAACAACCCTGCCGTGTTCGATTCATTCCTTGTGTGCGTTTACTAAACGGCTTCGCTTGTCGGGGTGATTATGATGGGGTGGATTTTCTGCCTCGTACACCCGCGACCCATCCGCGACCCAACAATGACCCACTCGCGACCAATGTGTAACCCACCCACGACCTAATTACCCACACTTCTTGTGTAACGAAAAATCGGCGCCTGCGGCGGGCTTGCTGTATAATTTGTGAAACTTTGGCTCCTGCGGTGGGCTTCTCCAGAGTCTCGCAAACTGCCGACGTCCCCACCGCCTTCTCACGCTTATCCGCATTTGCGGGGTGCTACGGACCGATAGACCGCTGCCCCCCAGCCTCTCCCCGGGGGCGTTCGGACCAGGATTTCGAGGCGAATGCAGCGGCGGCGACAACGGCCTCCCGGTAGGCCAACAAAAAAGGGAAACGAGGCAAGGGGGATTAGCGGTATGGGCACCTTTTCCTCATCTGACCTATTCCGCGAAGCCCAAGTGGCCGAGTCGATGTGCACATCCCGAGACGCCAGCCGGCGCACGGCGGCGGCGACCATGAGGCAGTCTTCGGTCCGCCTTTGCTGCGAAACGAGATACATGCCAGACCACCCCAGCCTGACCCGAAGTCCGCTCTTCGCATGCTTCTTCGGTGTTCCCCGACGCCCCCCCCACTGGGAATGGAGGGCAGATTGGGGCCTTCGGCTGGGGTTGGGTGGAGGCCTCATAGATGGGGTCCGAGCACACGGGGCCGGAGGATTGCACCGGATCGCCGATGCATCGGCGATGCATCGGCGACGCATCGACGATGCATCAGCGACCCCAGCGTGGAGAACATCGGCCTCCACATCGAGCCGCCTCGGCGATGCATCGACGATGCGGCGCGAATCGAAAGTGAGCCTGGTAACTCAAATAGCATCCGATTCCGTAGACATCGGATGGCAAATAGCGTCCGGTATCGTACTGACGTGGTTCAGTAAGAGGAATGGGCGGATAAGATAGGATAAGATCGATGTAGCGGTCTTTCCAGCACATAGCGAACACTCGCGGTGTCCGGGCAAATGGGGAGCGCGTGCCTTGAGCCAAAGGCAACGGCGCGCGAGCTATGCTCCCGATACTATAACATCTCCCAAAGAGCTACCCTTAAAGTCGGGAGGGGAGGAGACGGAGAGCATAGCCGCGCAGCCGTTAGGCTCTACAAAGGCCGCGCGCACGACTGTTTGCAAGAAAGAAAACAGTGTGTACAGTCTGGCCTAACACCAGACTGTAAGGCGAGTTTCCTCGCAAGGCATTTCACGCAAATACAAGATAGCCCCTTCGAACGATGAAGGGCTATCGGCTCAGTTAGAGGTAAGCCAAACGGGCCATACCTCACTGAGCAAACATGTATTAAGGCAAAGAGCCTGAGTCATAGAAAGCCGGCTCGTTGCCAGGCGCGAAATGTAAGGCTCGTTTCCGA